TTTGTACTCTCTACTTGGGATACTACTACTTGCTCAGCTATGTGATTTCGCAACTTGGTTTTATGTATATCGCTCACACTCATATTCCTTGCAATGGTCTCCTATCGTTTGTTTTTAGAATTTTTGATGAAATTCGCACTGCAATTGCCAATGAAAACGGCGAATATTTGGGCCCCCGTTAACCGTCTCTCGCTTATAATAATTATAAAAGGCCGATGCCCACAAACACCCATGGGAGTCGATCAACCTACTAACTTTATATGAGGCCGATGCCCACAAACACCCATGGGAGTCAATCAACCTACTAGCTTTATACTTAGCTAGTCTAACGGTCCTCCCATTAGGCAATTCGTGCTTCAACACCTTCTTGTCCCAGTCGAACTGGGGCTTGGCAACCTCGAGGTAGTACATGCCTAACAACATGTAGGTCGACACTAACCAGGAACAAAATTCTATGATTAAGTTATCCTCCTGGATAGGAGAAAGTGCAAACCACATCCTTGACGTAATCCTCTACCAACATGCGCTCTTTGTTGGCCAGAGTAGATGGTACCGGTCTACTCAGGCGTTGCACCGGTCCTTTGGGCGTAGTCTCTCAACGCAGTCACGACTTATAAAGTTTCGTGTGGAGTCGATGTCTACAAAGGTCCGTCATTTAATGTCCCCTACACGAACTTCCACAATGAAATATTCCCTTCTAGGACCTCAACTTAGTGCCACCCAGGACTCACGAGGGTCCGTTGCCGAGAACTCACTTTGCAGGTCCTCTAAGGCCTCAGACACATCCAACAAGCAGAGAATTGTTGGGTTAGGATGCGTCTGCGAGGTGACCAAGGAGTCGATGCCTTTGGCCAACTCTTGAAACGGGGAAGGTACATCACCCGCTTCAATGAGAGTAGAAGCAGCTATAACTTCCACTGGCCCTATGTGTTTCCCGAGTCGAAACTCGTCGAGGCCCCACTCTGGGAAGAAGGAACCCCACCTTTGGGTGGTATCTTCTGCGGGACCTAGCGTTCTTGCATTTGAACTGTTGATGGCCATACTCGCCACAGTTAATGCAAGCACCCCGTTGGTAACGATCCCGCCACACATCTTGATTCAAACCTACTCGAACCCATGTTGCTATCTTTCGCTGGTTCGGGGTTTGCCCCTGACTCCTCTGTTGTCCGCCCTTGCGACCTTGCTCTTAACTAGCGAGGTTGCTACCCTCAACATCATCCTCGTCATCCATCTCTGAATCATCCACAAGATCTGAGAAATCTTCGATCTCGGTCTTAGTACCATCTACCTCGACCATCATCAACTGAGTCCCTTTCTTCTTCCACTCTTATGGACTCTTCTTCTTTCTCTTGTCTGTAGAGGGGGTCTGAGCACCACCTAGCGTAGCCTTTTTGCTAAAGGTCTCAAATGTGTGATACTTTAGCCGAGCCTCGCTGTCTAACAGGTTCTTGATGTCTGTGGAAAGACATCTTAGGAACATGGTCAACAAGACCTGAGGATTGTATTCAACCCCGGGGACGACAATCAATCGCTCTACAGCTGAAGTGAGCTCGCGCACGGACTTGTACTTTTTAGTATCAAGTTTCAGCAACCCATCAGTGGCAATCTGTGCCTGCTGTGGGTTGTGCCATCGCGCTTCCACTAAATCCATAAAGCTCTCTAGGGTATTGGTCTTAGCCCAATCACCCTTTGAAGCAACCAATCCATTTAGCCCGTGAGTTGTCGATCCCTCTAAATAGGATGCAACAGTTATCACTTCCTCCTCCACCAACGTCCTGTTCGTCCTCACCCACACTGGCACCGTTCTCAACCAACTGTCGAGAGCCTCATCCTTCTTATCTCCTGAGAAGGTTGGGGGTAGTTTCAGTGGGTCTTGGGATACCAAGGCTGTTGCTGTCCCACTGGTGGGACAAGTGGCGGCTGTGGTGTAGCTCCAGCCGCAGAAGATGAAGAAGCAGCAGTCTGTGCTGCTGCTGCTGATGTACCGCTCGGTGTGGTACCAGACTAAGACGGGTATGGGCCTGTCATCGCGGAGAATGGCGGCGATGGCGAAACTGCTGGCCAAACCCCTGGCCTTTGCAGGGCATTCAGGATATGGTTTAGGGTGTCCTGGATAGCGTCCAGTTTGCTGTCCATGTATGTGTGCATGGACAGGATGCTCGCCTTGACAATCTTCATGTTATTGTCCAGAGTCGAGTCATCTAACCCCTCTAACGCAGCTTTGTCCGCCTCTCAACTCTCTAGTCTGATACTCTTATTTCTCATCTCATTTTCTCTGTCGGTAGCCTTCTTAAGTTCCTCCTCTAGCCTTAAGAGGATCCTTTCTACTTGTTGGAGCTCCATCTACTCCCGGGTGCGTGGAGTCGGCGGGCTAAACTGCGAGCCCGCCATCTGACAGGTGCCAACTCCTGGCGTACTGGAGATGACTTGCGAGCTGGTCTGCTGACCAGTTGGGGTTGTTGCAAATGTCGCTGAAGAGGTAGTCATTGCTACCGCGCTAGCTTCTGCGGCCACTAACGTTTTGTCTACAACTGCTGCTGCTTCCCTAGCAACCTCAAGATTACGGGCCCTTGCTTCGGCCCTTAGCCTTCTCTTCTCTCCTGGTAGTGGGACTTGGAACACTACCAGTCGTCAACTGTACCTTCACCACCCTCTGATCCACTCATCAGCTAGGCAGACGCTGTCTGCACTAGTGTCCTCTCCGGAACCTACCGCAACATGCGTCTGACCGGTTCTAAAAATAAAAATAAAAATAAATATCCGGCGAGTTACCTAGACTACCGGTCAAGCGGTATCAACAACATTCACACAGTGTGTACACATTATCTAAGTTTACTTTGATTAGTTCTCTTACAGCAGCTTCGAGGAGAACTGGCTATGGTAGAACACTACAATTGTAGTCTAGGCTGTTTGTGAGGTGTTAGCAGTCTGTCAACCAACTAATCAAAAATAAAAATAAACTATGTAAGCAGATGTATGCACAATGGGTATGGTTGTGTATCCAACGTGCCTGTAGGCATCATCAAGCGACAATGTCTAAGGTGTGCATTAGCGGCCCACCCTTGTGCCCAAGGTGTATGCTTATGACCAGAACCGCGCTTTGTTTATCCTCTCGTGCAACGAGCTTTACGTCTGACTGATCTGGCTGATCAAGAGGCAGTTTAAGGACAGCCCCCACAGTCCTCAGGAATTATTTTACGTCGCAATCAAGACGACGATCACAGCCAGTGGACAGATCAGACACCTGCCATAAATATTTATAGACCGTCTGGTTTGCGTCTGCTTAGGACTGGTCAGTCCGGACACCCCTTCTACCAATGCAGCAAAGAGCCTTTAAAGTTTAAAGGACAAAGCAGCATGGCCTGCGTGTACTTCTCCCATGGGTTGGCATGGTGACTGTGACCCGTGCTTCGACCAGGGCCCTTCAGAGGCACCGCCCTCTCCTGCCAGATGCGCCACCGGGAAGAATGTCGTCTCTCAAGGTACAACACATACGACTCCTCACACAAAAAAGAGGACACTCAAGGTTGGACTCACTACCTCACGGTAAGAAGAGATCGAGAGGGTAGATAAGGTAATGGAACAACGTACCTGGAGATAACTTCCCCCAACCACAAATTTCTCACCAACTGAGCCGACGTGCATTTCAATGGCCGATCATAGCCGCAGTACCACCCACAACGCAATGCAGTGCCACCTCAGCCAAAATGCCACGCCGGCGCGCTCTCATCATCATACATACATCCGTTGTCGCCACAGCCTTCCAGCGGCCGGCCCCTCTACCTGGGCCCCGCTCTATCAAGCCAACGCCTATGTATCCTTACGGCACAGAAGCATCGGCACGGCACCAAGTAACAATGTCGTCAAGGCCAGGTAAGCGGCGATCATGAACCAGCTCCAAT